GTGTATGTGTGTGTGTGTGTGTGTGTGTGTGTGTGTGTGTGTGTGTGTGAGATGAATGGAATTCCGCATCGGTGTGCAATTGTAAAACAAGGCTGCGTGTTGAAAAAAAAATCTGAAACTGCATTTAGGAGTGGCTCAATACTGGCTGGCCATATTCGGGCCGGAGTTGGAAATACATTTCTGGCCCAAATACTTCACGCCACAACCGGCCCTCATCTGGTTTGCCAGAGTCAAGCCAGTGCCTCCTTTGCCACGCCTGGGCCGTGTTCGGCCCACATGCGTTATGCCATTGCCGACACCAGGCCAGCTGTGCCGGCTTCATGCCGAAGCCGGGCCAGATGCCTTTGCTGACTGGGGGAGGGGTGCCCAAACTTTTTTGACCGAAGATCTACTTTTCGATCAACCAACCTCCCGGGATCGACCCGTTACCGCGCACGCGCGTATACGCACGCACGTACACACGCGGGCCACGGTGAGCAACAGCATGAAGCTGAGGCATGCGACGCACTTTTGCAGCCAGTTAACGATCGTAGCTCACGCGCACCGTTTTAAAATGCTTCTCTCGGCCCTCCAGATTCCCATTCTTTGCCAGTTCCCTCGGTGAATTGTACAAAACAAACTCTGAATGGGAATAATGATAACGATAAAAGATTAGCGCAACAACTCTGAACACAAGCTGCAATTGCAGACTGCTGAGCGCTAACAACTTCCGGTGACGCAGTCAACGCCACCGTAGGTTACAGATGACCCGCTTTATTTTAGTTTATTTTTTAAATACTTTTTGTGAAAGTGAGACTGATAGAATGATTAGGGTGCACTGTGCATTAACACAAAAAATATTACTAACATGCACAGAGATACAATTTGGGTTTTTTTCCTCTACACCCCTCGGATCGATTTGGGACCAGTCCCTGATCTACTGGTCGATCACGATCGACGTAATGGGCACCCCTGAGTCCTAGGAACTGTCAGGAGTGAGTCAAGTCACATTTATTTATATAGCCCTTAATCACAAATGGGCTTCACATGCCCACGGTTGACAAATATTAATGGCATTCCCTGACCTTAACCCCCAGGAGGGCAAGGAAAACCTTAAAAAAAAACATCTGAGGTAAAATGAGAAACCTGGAGAAGTCGTAAGACCATAAATTACACAGTGCGTCCTCTGAGCGGTAAGAACCAAGAAAGAGCTAAGCCTGACATACCAACGCACATTCTGTAGCGTTCTATTAGTACGTTATGATCATGTCAAAGGCAGCGCTAAGATCGTGTAATAATAATACTGATGAGGTGTCGGAGTCCATAGCAAGGAGAAGATCATTAGTCACTTTAGCAAGGGCCGTTTCAGTAGAATGGTGGGCCTTAAACCCTGACTAAAACGGTTCAAATCGGTTGTTAGCGGCCATGGAGTCATTAAGCTGTTGCGCTACGACTTTCTCAAGAATTTTTGCAATAAATGGGAGATTTGAAACAGGCCTATACAAACAGAAACCCTCGACCCAGAAATGGCTGCCTTCTGAGATGGATAAAAACAGGATGATTTTTTGCTTTATTCATATTGCACAAATGCAGTATTAATCAGAATGCCCTGTTCAGACTTGTGGGGGTGCATTGAATATATTATTGTGAGGATTTTTTTTAACTTGATTTACCCTTCAATAGGAAGCTGGTATGTACAGTGAATATAAAATGTCCACATACAGTTGCTCAATGGCCAGGCTTTTTTTCACCATGAATATGGCCTACAAGCTGTACAACTCAGTTGGGATGCTGGGGTGGGGGCTTAGTTATACAGTAAATGTGATAGAACTTGTAAACACATTATCCCAGGTAATCATTTTTACTTCCTAAGGATTTTAACCCCACCCCGCCTCCAATTGAGTAATACAAGTTATAGGTAACAGGGTGGATGAAGTTTCATGAGGGTCTGACTGGAGGCATGCACTGTCAGACACTAGCGTTGGGATAGATTTAAAAAATAAAATAGAATGTCAGGCGGATAGCGGGGGAATGCATTTGAAAATAAAAGCAAATGCACTCTCGGACCAAATTGTAACATTTCATCGACATCTGGACATTGTGCAAATGCACACCAACGGCACTTTTTCCCCTCCGTGACCATGAGGCAGCATAACTTCATTTCACCTTGTGTATTCTGTAAAACAGTGAGTTGAACAGAATAATATGATTGTTTAAAATCACACCCTTCCACATCTCACTGTCATTACCCACATGAGCAATTTTAGTTCCCCAGCAGAACAATGCGGTCTTATTCAAGGCCTCGCGTTGTAGTACAGTAATTTCATCAGTAGATGGTGGTGTCGAACTGTGCTACGTCTGCTTTTATTTTGGGTTTGAGACTGCACAATAGTGTAGGCTGCTTGCTCTTTGCGCACTTCTCTCCATGTATTTAAGCAGGAAATAAGCAAGCTCAGCAATTTTAATAATGAAATCATGGATTGAAATAATGAATTCATTCAAATTGAAATTCAATATCAAACCCAGACCAGATAACTAAATTGAAAAATAATTTTACGTCTGCTGTATTGTCATTTTATGTTCAGTGTTCTGTAAAACGCTTTGGTACAGCACATGCAGGTGAGGCTCAGCTACCTCTGAGTTATCGAAATTGCATGGTATAGAGAGAAAGAATGTACAACTTTTTGCATCCAAGTTTATTTTGAAACTCCCTACTCCCGCTGTACAAGAAAAACAAAAAAGATTTTCCAGAAAGGCAGCAGTGAACTATCAGTGATAGTACTTTTCTTGTGAAGGAAACTTAAATCACAGTGTCTTCTTTTAAATACCTCACCTGCCGTCATCTTTGGCTGGGCTTTGGCAGACAGATTTCTGTCAGACCAAATTCTTGGGAAACAAACCTTTCAAGCTGAATAGGGTAGAACTGCGAGCTTAACATTTTACAGTGCCAATGCAGGAATGTTCTGGACTGTATACATCTTTTTCATTTAATTTCAACACAAAGAAAACAAAAATTGAAATAAAAATAAGTTTGTGTTCACAACACAAACATTGTCTGGGGAGATAGCGACAGTATGTCGAATTTTAATAAAATTGTATAGACAAAAAAATAAATCTACAAAATGGAGCTAAGTAAATATTACACAACAAGTAAGCATGTTTTTTTTAACTGTTTTCTGTTGAACCTCTACACAAAACCAAAGTTCTTGGTCTTAATAGCTAACAGGAGCTTCTGTTTGAGTATCTGTTTTGAAGAATAGAGTGGCACATAGAGGCGCGAGATGCACGTATTGGCTGTGGGGAGGTGCTGGTCGTCTGGAGGCCGGATAGTAATGGAGGGCATTGGCTGAAAGCCCTCTTCGCTGGCTGGCAGGGATGGACTGGAAGTCCAGAAGTACACCTGATGATGAGAAAATGAATTAGTCTAACTATTCAGAAAAAACTGTAATACCCATTCATTCAGCATGAATTATTCCAAATGATTTTTGCCATTAGGCCAGGTCATGCGCGCAGAATTAATAAATCAGACCTTACCAGATCTTGCCTCTCAGTCATGCTCATCTTCTCGACTATCGACCAAAACCAGCGCTTAAACTGCAGTAGTTTGTCTGCATTCTCTCCTGTTGACAAAATAAGTCTGTTTGGTATTATCAGTGCACACATGCAAGAATTGTGTTATAAGTTAGCAAAGATGACTGACAGATGCAAGATCCATAGAACAGACATACCAGACTCGTCATTGAAGGAGGTGAAGCTAATGAGCATCTGCACGTTGACCTCTCCGCAACCATTGACAAGCAACCGAAAATCCTCAGCAGTCAGATCTTCCAGGGCGTTCTTCGGAAGTACATCTAGCAAACCCTTCCTCATCGCCTTGAATGGACATACATTTTGTGAAAATATGCGTCAATTAACATAATAGTCTTTCCAATAGTCTTTCTATAATGACAATGAAACTTGCTTCATTCTTTGACAGCGAGTTTGATAACCTTAGTGATTGCATATTCACAACCAAGGAGAAGGACTCACATGGAGTGGTTGTTCAGCCACGACCAGCATTCTGTGCTCTGCGTACTTCCGCACATACTCGTACACATTGAGGGGAGTTACTGGCATGTTGACACCACCAGAGAGAAGCTCCACCTACATCAGAAGGAACATAGTCCATTTTAATAAGGTCTAATTAGTATTAAGAATTAGTGTGCGTCTGCTATCCACAGCGAGCTGGAATCATTTGTGGAGTTCTATTAACTTGCGCTGGCTGTGTAATGGTGTTAATTCCAAGTATATAGCAATCTCAGCATGTTGCAACATAACCGTAAGAGATGTCATGCAGCTGAAGGAGTCTTATGTCTTTTTGGCCTGTAGGACTCCTTAGGGAGCTGATAGGCATGGGCTGTTGAAGAGAAATGTAGGTTTCGCGGTCGATGAGACAAAAACTCGGGCATGGGAGGAGTTTGATGAGGCCGTGGAAAACGACTTCCAGATGGCTTCCAGGAAATTCTGTTTCACCATCGGGAGTTTCAAGAGGGAAACACAGTGCACCATTAACACTGTTTATGAGAAGGGGGGCTGCTGACTTTGACTCAGGATTCTGTGAGTCGGTGGGCAGAATACTTTGAAAACCTCTTCAATTCCACCGACAGAACTTCCTGAGGACTTTGGGGGTGAGCTCTCCTATCTTTAAAGTCACCGAGGTGGTTCAAATGGTCCTCGGTAACAAGGCCCCGGGAGTGGATGAGATCTGCCCTGAGTTCTAGAGGCTCTGGATGTTGTGAGGCTATCTTGGTTGATACGCCGCGTGGCGGGATTGTCAGACCAGGGTGGTGATACCCATTTTAAGAAGAGGGACCAGAGGATGTGTTCCAACTGCAGGGGGATCACACTCCCACTCCTCAACCTCCCTAGTAAGGTCTATTCAGGAATGCTTAAGAGGGTTTGTCAGGAAGTTGAACCTCAGATATATAACTGAAACACATGGAACCCTGTTCTTTGTGCCTTGGTGAGAGAATACTAATGACATTTTACCTGTCCTGCCCCTTCCTCTTTGCAAAGGTCAATGGCAAAGGCCAAATCCATTGCAGCAAATACAGCTTCCGCTTCACCGGCCAGTGAATGGCGAATAAGCTGTCTCAAACTCTCGTACATGACCGGGTCAAAGAATGCAAAATCATGCCAGTTGACCTGCAGTGGATGACAGAATAGCCGTTTAGTACAAATTAACTTCATGTCACAAATCGTTTTTGAGACGAAGAGGAGTTTTGCCTACCTTTCTTCCAAGCAAGACCTTGATCACATGTCTATTCATCGTTATTGGACAGAGTTCATTCTGAAGGAGACACAACCCCAATATCCTACAATGTAAACAGCATGTTAAAAGTCAATTGAGAGGATTTTACTCAAATAAGGGATAAAGACAAACATCTTTGATCAACAGGAATTCAGAAAAGAGCAAACACGGTCACAATGAGTACATTAATAGTTTAAACCAAAATTACCACAACTTATGATTAGTGCCTGTGCTTACAGTATGGCAGCAATTTTGATCAAGAATCACAATAGGGGGTGCAGTCCAGTGCCAAACAACTTTTGACTGCACAGCAAATTGCACGAGTTACAAAGATGGGGCCCATGCTGGTGAGAAACGGTGCTGCTTCATAGGCTGAGGTTGCGTAAAAGGTTTACTAGAGCTGTGTACGAATCAGCGGTGATTCGAATTAGGATATGAGTGGGCGTGTTTTCTTCCGCTTTCTACCTTCTGCCACAAAAGTTTGGTTGAGCGGACACCAAGTTTGATATTGTTTTGGGGCAACAGTAACTCTTTATTGTCTCAGTTAAAAAGCCACAACACGACAATGAATATGCACAAAGTAAACTGTATGTTGCCACAATTTTTTTTTTTTCCCTCGCGGAAAATGGAGGACAGACACCACCCCATAATATGCAAATAGATGAATTCACAAATGCCAAACCACGACTATCGTTCATTACCTGCCGATGTTACGGAAACAGTTGAGTCTGGCCTCTGTGTTCTTTCCAGGCCGAGGCGAGTAGAAGCCTCGTTTGCCAGGCTGGTAAAAGAGCGGCGCATTGTCATCCCCATCATCTGGGTCATCAAGCTCCATGTCCACCACACTACGTGTTGAACCATGGCGCTTTCGGTTCTCCTGTTGCTACGCAATAACCAACAAAAGAACAAGTTAATGGCACAGCCCTGGCTGCATTAAGGAAAACAAAATAGGGCGATTTTAAGTCCAAAGCACAAAAACAACAGAATAAGGGTATTACTGTTTGATTAATATTCAGTCATGGAACAGAAAGGATAAGACATTTTACTTGAGCTTTTTCTGGAGCCTCCAAAAGACCCAGGTCCAGTATACTGTCAGCACCATTTTCCCTGGGTAAGACATAGTTCATAGTGAGTCCCACTGTATAGTGTTTTGTTCTAAGATTGCGGTTCAGCTGAACCTGAAAATGAGTCGTTATGGGATATTGATGGGGGTTTTTTTTGGGGGGGGGGGGGATATGGCCCACTAGAGTAAAAACAGAGCCTTGGTTGCCAGGTTCATCATAAATGCGTACTGGAAGAGTTGAATTTATGCTAACCTTCCATGTGCAATAAGCAGCTCCATAGCCTCTTCTACTCTGGCTCTGAGAGAATCCTCACTAGCCAGCAGCAGCAGAAGTTGCGCAGGGGATAATTCCAGCAACATGCCTGTGATTTTACTGGCAAACGCCTGCAGACAAACAATTCTTAGGGCGTACTAGAAAGAATGGTCTACAAGATAAAAGCATGTACAAACCCGATTCCAATGAAAAACGGACATTAAACAAATACAAACAAAAAATGATTTACAAATCCTATGTTAAACTGAATACACTACAAAGACAAGATATTTAATGTTTAAACTGAAAGCAAATTTTCAGCAATTAATCATTATCTGAGAAATAAAATGTAGGTTGAACATGATTTGTAAATCATTGTATTCTGTTTTTATTTAATACAATGTTCCAACTTCATTGGAATTGGGTTTATAGATCTAGATAATTTTCTTATTTCAAGAAATCTGCTGGTAAATTTTTCTTGCTGACTGGTAGATAATTTCAATTGTTTCTAGTAAATTTACTTTAAAAACCAGTGTGTGCGTGTATATATATATATATA